TCTATGTGAATGAGTGTGCCTATGTGAATGAGTGTGTCTATGTGAATGAGTGAGTGTGTCTATGTGAGTGTGTATATGTGAGTGAGTGTCTATGTGAATGAGTGAGTGTGTCTATGTGAATGAGTGAGTGTGTCTATATGAGTGTGTCTATGTGAGTGTGTGTGTCTATGTGAGTGAGTGTGTCTATGTGAATGAGTGAGTGTGTCTATGTGAGTGTGTCTATGTGTGTGTCTATGTGAGTGAGTGTGTCTGTGAGTGAGTGTGTCTATGTGAATGAGTGAGTGTGTCTATGTGAGTGAATGTGTCTATGTGAGTGAGTTTTTCTATGTGAGTATGTCTATGTGAGTGTGTCTATGTGAGTGTGTCTATGGGAGTGAGTGTGTCTATGTGAATGAGTGAGTGTGTCTATGTGAATGAGTGTGTGTGTCTATGTGAATGAGTGAGTGTGTCTATGTGAGTGTGTCTATGTGAATGAGTGAGTGTGTCTATGTGAATGAGTGAGTGTGTCTGAGTGAGTGAGTCTGTCTATGTGAATGAGTGAGTGTGTCTATGTGAGTGAGTGTGTCTATGTGAGTGTGTCTATGTGAGTGAGTGTATCTATGTGAATGAGTGAGTGTGTCTGAGTGAGTGAGTCTGTCTATGTGAATGAGTGAGTGTGTCTATGTGAGTGAGTGTGTCTATGTGAGTGAGGTGTGTCTATGTGAATGAGTGAGTGTGTCTATGTGAATGAGTGAGTGTGTCTATGTGAGTGAGTGTGTCCATGTGAATGAATGAGTGTGTCTATGTGAGTGTGTCTATGTGAGTGAATGAGTGTGTCTATGTGTCTGAGTGAGTGTGTCTATGTGAGTGAGTGTGTCTATGTGAATGAGTGAGTGTGTCTATGTGAGTGAGTGTGTCTATGTGAATGAGTGAGTGTGTCTATGTGAGTGAGTGTGTCTATGTGAGTGTGTCTATGTGAGTGAGTGTGTCTATGTGAATGAGTGAGTGTGTCTATGTGAGTGTGTCTATGTGAGTGAGTGTGTCTATGTGAATGAGTGAGTGTGTCTATGTGAATGAGTGAGTGTGTCTATGTGAGTGAGTGTGTCTATGTGAGTGAGTGTGTCTATGTGAATGAATGAGTGTCTATGTGAGTGAATGAGTGTGTCTATGTGAGTGAGTGTGTCTATGTGTCTGAGTGAGTGTGTCTATGTGAGTGAGTGTGTCTACGTGAATGAGTGAGTGTGTCTATGTGAGTGTGTCTATGTGTGTGTCTATGTGAGTGAGTGTGTCTATGTGAGTGAGTGTGTCTATGTGAGTGTGTCTATGTGTGTGTCTATGTGAGTGAGTGTGTCTATGTGAGTGACTGTGTCTATGTGAATGAGTGAGTGTGTCTATGTGAGTGAATGTGTCTATGTGAGTGAGTTTTTCTATGTGAGTATGTCAATGTGAGCGTGTCTATGTGAGTGTGTCTATGTGAGTGTGTCTATGTGAGTGTGTCTATGGGAGTGAGTGTGTCTATGTGAATGAGTGAGTGTGTCTATGTGAATGAGTGTGTGTGTCTATGTGAATGAGTGAGTGTGTCTATGTGAGTGTGTCTATGTGAATGAGTGAGTGTGTCTATGTGAATGAGTGAGTGTGTCTGAGTGAGTGAGTCTGTCTATGTGAATGAGTGAGTGTGTCTATGTGAGTGAGTGTGTCTATGTGAGTGTGTCTATGTGAGTGAGTGTGTCTATGTGAATGAGTGAGTGTGTCTGAGTGAGTGAGTCTGTCTATGTGAATGAGTGAGTGTGTCTATGTGAGTGAGTGTGTCTATGTGAGTGAGGTGTGTCTATGTGAATGAGTGAGTGTGTCTATGTGAATGAGTGAGTGTGTCTATGTGAGTGAGTGTGTCCATGTGAATGAATGAGTGTGTCTATGTGAGTGTGTCTATGTGAGTGAATGAGTGTGTCTATGTGTCTGAGTGAGTGTGTCTATGTGAGTGAGTGTGTCTATGTGAATGAGTGAGTGTGTCTATGTGAGTGAGTGTGTCTATGTGAATGAGTGAGTGTGTCTATGTGAGTGAGTGTGTCTATGTGAGTGTGTCTATGTGAGTGAGTGTGTCTATGTGCATGAGTGAGTGTGTCTATGTGAGTGTGTCTATGTGAGTGAGTGTGTCTATGTGAATGAGTGAGTGTGTCTATGTGAATGAGTGAGTGTGTCTATGTGAGTGAGTGTGTCTATGTGAGTGAGTGTGTCTATGTGAATGAATGAGTGTCTATGTGAGTGAATGAGTGTGTCTATGTGAGTGAGTGTGTCTATGTGAGTGACTGTGTCTATGTGAATGAGTGAGTGTGTCTATGTGAGTGAATGTGTCTATGTGAGTGAGTTTTTCTATGTGAGTATGTCAATGTGAGCGTGTCTATGTGAGTGTGTCTATGTGAGTGTGTCTATGTGAGTGTGTCTATGGGAGTGAGTGTGTCTATGTGAATGAGTGAGTGTGTCTATGTGAATGAGTGTGTGTGTCTATGTGAATGAGTGAGTGTGTCTATGTGAGTGTGTCTATGTGAATGAGTGAGTGTGTCTATGTGAATGAGTGAGTGTGTCTGAGTGAGTGAGTCTGTCTATGTGAATGAGTGAGTGTGTCTATGTGAGTGAGTGTGTCTATGTGAGTGTGTCTATGTGAGTGAGTGTGTCTATGTGAATGAGTGAGTGTGTCTGAGTGAGTGAGTCTGTCTATGTGAATGAGTGAGTGTGTCTATGTGAGTGAGTGTGTCTATGTGAGTGAGGTGTGTCTATGTGAATGAGTGAGTGTGTCTATGTGAATGAGTGAGTGTGTCTATGTGAGTGAGTGTGTCCATGTGAATGAATGAGTGTGTCTATGTGAGTGTGTCTATGTGAGTGAATGAGTGTGTCTATGTGTCTGAGTGAGTGTGTCTATGTGAGTGAGTGTGTCTATGTGAATGAGTGAGTGTGTCTATGTGAGTGAGTGTGTCTATGTGAATGAGTGAGTGTGTCTATGTGAGTGAGTGTGTCTATGTGAGTGTGTCTATGTGAGTGAGTGTGTCTATGTGAATGAGTGAGTGTGTCTATGTGAGTGTGTCTATGTGAGTGAGTGTGTCTATGTGAATGAGTGAGTGTGTCTATGTGAATGAGTGAGTGTGTCTATGTGAGTGAGTGTGTCTATGTGAGTGAGTGTGTCTATGTGAATGAATGAGTGTCTATGTGAGTGAATGAGTGTGTCTATGTGAGTGAGTGTGTCTACGTGAATGAGTGAGTGTGTCTATGTGAGTGAGTGTGTCTATGTGAATGAGTGAGTGTGTCTATGAGTGTATCTATGTGAATTGTGTATGTGAGTGTGTCTATGTGTGTGTCTATGTAAGTGTGTCTATGTGAATGAGTGAGTGTGTCTATGTGAGTGTGTCTATGTGAATGAGTGAGTGTGTCTGAGTGAGTGAGTTTGTCTATGTGAATGAGTGAGTGTGTCTATGTGAATGAGGGTGTCTATGTGAGTGTGTCTATGTGAATGAGTGTGTCTATGTGAGTGTGTGTCTATGTGAGTGAGTGTGTCTATGAGTGTGTCTATGTGAGTGTGTCTATGTGAATGAGTGTGTCTATGTGAATGAGTGTGTCTATGTGAGTGTGTGTCTATGTGAGTGTGTGTATGTGAGTGAGTGTCTATGTGTGTGTGTCTATGTGAGTGAGTGTGTCTATGTGAATGAGTGAGTGTGTCTATGTGAGTGTGTGTATGTGAATGAATGAGTGTGTCTATGTGAGTGTGTGTCTACGTGAGTGTCTATGTGAGTGTATCTATGTGAATGAGTGTGTCTATGTGAGTGTGTGTCTATGTGAGTGTGTCTATAAGTGTGTCTATGTGAATGAGTGTGCCTATGTGAGTGTGTCTATGTGAGTGTGTCTATGAGTGTGTCTATGTGAGTGTGTGTGTGTCTATGTGAGTGTGTCTATGAGTGTGTCTATGTGAATGAGTGAGTGTGTCTATGTGAGTGTGTCTATGTGAGTGTCTATGTGTGTGTGTGTCTATGAGTGTGTCTATGTGAGTGTGTCTATGAGTGTGTCTATGTCAGTGTGTCTATGAGTGTGTCTATGTGAGTGTGTCTATGTGAGTGTGTCTGAGTGTGTCTATGTGAGTGTGTGTTTATGTGAGTGTGTCTGAGTGTCTATGTGAGTTTGTGTCTATGTGCGTGAGTGTCTATGTGAGTGAATGAGTGAGTGTGTCTATGTGAGTGTGTGTGTGTCTATGTGAATGTGTGTGTCTATGTGAATGAGTGAGTGTGTCTATGTGTGTATCTATGTGAGTGTGTGTGTCTATGTGTGTCTATGAGTGTGTCTATGTGTGTGTGTCTATGTGAATGAGTGTGTGTCTATGTGAGTGAGTGTGTGTGTGAGTGTGTGTGTGTCTATGTGAGTGAGTGTGTGTGTGTCTATGTGAGTGTCTATGTGAGTGTGTGTCTATGTGAGTGTCTATGTGAGTGAGTGAGTGTGTGTGTCTATGTGAGTGAGTGTGTCTATGTGAGTGTGTGTCTATGTGTGTGTCTATGTGAGTGTGTGTATGTGAGTGTCTATGTGAGTGTGTCTGTGTGTGTGTGTCTATGTGAGTGTGTGTGTCTATGTGAATGAGTGTGTGTCTATGTGAGTGAGTGTGTGTGTGAGTGTGTGTGTGTCTATGTGAGTGAGTGTCTATGTGAGTGTCTATGTGAGTGAGTGAGTGTGTGTGTCTATGTGAGTGAGTGTGTCTATGTGAGTGTGTGTCTATGTGTGTGTCTATGTGAGTGTGTGTATGTGAGTGTCTATGTGAGTGTGTCTATGTGAGTGTGTGTCTATGTGAGTGTCTATGTGTGTGTGTGTCTATGTGTGTGTGTCTATGTGAGTGTGTGTGTCTATGTGAGTGAGTGTGTGTGTCTATGAGTGTGTCTATGTGAGTGTCTATGTGTGTGTGTGTGTCTATGTGTGAGTGTCTATGTGAGTGAGTGTGTCTATGTGTGTGTGTGTCTATGTGAGTGTGTCTATGTGTGTGTGTCTATGTGAGTGTGAGTGTCTATGTGAGTGAGTGACGTTGATCAGCCGCGCGGCTTCCCGGTTGAGTGCCCCGCGTCGCCGTTACGTAGCGGGCCCGAGGTCCGCCCCCGCGCTCCCCGCGATATAAACCCCGGCCCCCCGGGACACGCAGAGTCGCGTCCCGCGTGGCTCCAAGTCTCCGTGTTACCCAGTCCCCGTGTCTCCCGGTAGCCCAACCGACCCCGCATGTTGACGGTTCTCCCCGTGCCCGTGTTCCCGCGTCTCTCTGTCCCCCCACCCGTGTCTTTGTGTCTCCTTCGAGTCCCATTGTTTCTGGCTCCGAGGTCCCCACACTCCGTGCGCGCGCGCGCGCGTGAACCCCGAGCTCCGGATTTGGACCCCGCAGACTCCGCTGGGCCCCTGCCCGCAGGTACGAACCCACACCCCCACCCCCCCCCCCACCCCCCCGACCCCCCCCCCACGATCCCCGATCGGTCCCTAGTCCACGGGGTTCCCGAGTTCCTCGTTTCGCGACGTCGCGCCAGGAGTCGCGCACAAAGCGCGACTCCCGGGGACCATGGCAACCGCGCCGCCCGCACTCAGTGCTTCCCGGCAGGCGGGGCACGGCTCCCGTTGCCTGTGGGGCACGGCTCCCGTTGCTCAAGGGGCACGGCTCTCGTGGGGCACGGCTCCTGTTGCCTGTGGGGCACGGCTCCTGTTGCTCAAGGGGCACGGCTCCTGTTGCTCAAGGAGGGGGCACGGCTCCTGTTGCTCAAGGGGCACGGCTCCTGTTGCTCAAGGAGGGGGCACGGCTCCTGTTGCTCAAGGGGCACGGCTCTCGTGGGGCACGGCTCCTGTTGCTCAAGGAGGGGGCACGGCTCCTGTTGCCCGTGGGGCACGGCTCCCGTTGCTCGTGGGGGCCATGCCCTCGCCCACGCTCCGCTAATGACTTTGCCGCTTGCGTTGACAGCGTTCGCGGACATGCTCGGAGCTGCCCCGCGGCGGCGGCGGCGTCTCTAGCGTCGCCTCTCCACCGCCTCCAACCGGGGCGGGGGTGGAGGAGGAGGAGGAGGGCGCCTCCCGCACCGCCTCCCCCCGGGCCACCCGGCACCCTCGCCGCGCGCCCCCACACCGACGATGTCCTCCACGGGCCTGGAGATTCTGGGCTTCTCGCTGGGCGCGCTGGGCTGGCTGCTCGGCGTCGTGGCCTGCGCGCTTCCCACGTGGCGCGTCACCGCCTTCCTGGGCCAGACGCTGATCGTGGCGCAGAGCACCTGGGAGGGCCTGTGGATGAACTGCGTGGTGCAGAGCACGGGCCAGATGCAGTGCAAGGTGCACGACTCCATGCTGGCGCTCAACGGCGAGTTGCAGGCGGCTCGCGCGATGACGGTGCTCGCCAACCTCCTCGCCCTGCTCGCGGTCGGCGTGGCGGCCACGGGCATGCGCTGCACGACGTGCGGCGACGAGGACGGCTCGGCCAAGGGCCGTCTCACGGCCACGGGAGGCGTCGGGTTCGCGCTGTGCGGCCTCCTAATGCTCGCGCCCGTGTCGTGGACGGCGCACAACATCGTGCGCGACTTCTACGACGTCGGCGTCCCCGTCACCCTCAAGCGGGAGCTCGGCTCGGCCCTGTACGTCGGCTGGGGGGCGGCGACGCTGCTGTTTCTCGGCGGGGGGCTGCTGTGCTGTTCGTGGCCACGACCAGAGCCTGGTCGGCCCCGGCCCTTTTACGGCCTCCAGCCGGGCGGGTTGGCCATGCACGGGACCGGCCCGAACGCTCCCGGGGCCCCGTTGCCGCGGATGCACTCGGCGGTGGCTGCGGCGGCGGCGGCGGCGGCGGCGGCATACAGCGCCCCGCCGTACGAGGCCGCGCCAGCACCCTGCAACGGCAAGCAAAGTTACCACGTGAAGGAGTTCGTGTGAGTGGAGCGACCTCCGTGGGGGTGGGGGGGATGGAGACGTCGTGGGACGTGCGCGTTCACTTGGAGCAGCCCCTCTCGCCCGCAGCGAGTCCGCAATGCACAATGCCGCGCGCGTGAAACCCCTGGATTTGTGTTTGTTTACGGCGACGGGGAAGGGTGCGTGGAGTGGCCACGCCGGGCTGGGTGAACTGCGCGTGCCAGTTCTGTGTGCGGGGGCGGGGGGGGGGCCCACTCGTGTCGTCGTGAGCCGCGTTGGTGTTGACGAAACCATGCTCGCGTCTGTCCACTTGACGCCAGGAGTTAGATTATGGAGTTTAACCGAGCCACGTGTGACGTAAAGAGAGAAAGAGAGCACGCGACTTGTGTTAAGCTCGTCATCCCATCAGGATCACCGCGCAGACGCCGAGAGACACGGATTGCCATCCACTCAAGGCCGCCTGCTAGCCCGGCCACTGAGCACCTCGTTGCATTCCTCCAGACAGAGCCCACGGCTGCAACACGCGTATACCCCACCACCCTGTCAGCTGTCTTGTCAAGACAAAGCCACGTGGACACCCGAAGAACAACCTCCTTGAGGGAATTCACCTTGAGAAGCTCCACCTTGAGATGCCCCACCTTGAGATGCTCCACCTTGAGATGCTCCACCTTGAGAAGCCCCACCTTGAGAAGCTCCACCTTGAGATGCTCCACCTTTAGATGCTCCACCTTGAGAAGCTCCACCTTGAGAAGCTCCACCTTGAGATGCTCCACCTTGAGAAGCTCCACCTTGAGATGCTCCACCTTGAGATGCTCCACCTTGAGAAGCTCCACTTTGAGATGCTCCACCTTGAGATGCTCTACCCTGAGAAGCTTCACATGGAGATGGTCCACCTTGAGAAGCTCCACCTTGAGATGCTCCACCTTGAGATGCTCCACCTTGAGAAGCTCCACCTTGAGATGCTCCACCTTGAGATGCTCCACCTTGAGAAGCTCCACCTTGAGAAGCTCCACCTTGAGAAGCGCCACCTTGAGAAGCTCCACCTTGAGATGCTCCACCTTGAGAAGCTCCACCTTGAGATGCTCCACCTTGAGAAGCTCCACCTTGAGAAGCCCCACCTTGAGATGCTCCACCTTGAGAAGCTCCACCTTCAGATGCTCCACCTTGAGAAGCTCCACCTTGAGAAGCCCCACCTTGAGAAGCGCCACCTTGAGAAGCTCCACCTTGAAATACTCTACATTGAGATGCTTCACATTGAGATGCTCCACCTTGAGATGCTCTACCCTGAGAAGCTTCACATGGAGATGGTCCACCTTGAGAAGCTCCACCTTGAGATGCTCCACCTTGAGATGCTCCACCTTGAGATGGTCCACCTTGAGAAGCTCCACATTGAGACGCTTCACATTAAAAAGCTCCACTTTGAGATGCTTCACTTTGAGATGCTCCACCTTATGATGCTCCACTTTGAGTTGCTGCACCTTGAGATGCTTCACCTTGAGAGACGTCACCTTGAGTAGCTCCACCTTGAGAAGCTCCACCTTGAGGAGCTGATGTTGGCCCACGTGTCCCTCTCGTGGCAGTGCCCACGGGGGGAGGAGTCTCCACGGTCTCCACGGTCTCCGTGGTCTCCGTGTGGATGCGCACGAAGCTGTGAGGCCCCCCGCGTCTCACAGCCGCCTCCTGCTTGTCCAAGCGACGGCCACGCGATACAACTGAACCTTATGGCGGTACCCCGGGGTTCCATAGTACCCCGGCTCTCGCATAATGTGCGTGATGCAGTCATGTTTAGTCTGTGTTGATGGTCGGCGATGCGGCAATCGACTCATCTCGACGAGCTGTACTCACGATGCACCACCACGTCCTTGCTGCGTTTCGACTTTGCGGAGTCGCACCGATTTCGGATTGATTGGTGCCCCAGTCGTCGCGGAGTTAAGTAACACCCCTGGAAAAAATAGTGTCCCAGAAATACAATATTTAATTGCCTCGGCCCATTTTGTATTATTTGGTACCCCGGGGTACCACCACCAGGAACAAATGTCCCGCGCATTTATTCGAGGCTTTAATAATAATAATACTTCACAATAGTAGCCGGAGCATTACGATTGGGAAGTACGATTGTTATTTACAGAACGCCACGTTGAAACCGTGAGTGCTGTGTAATGGTGAAGTGTTAAGGCAACGTACTCTGATGGTAAAGTAACATTATGGTGAGGTAAGTACCTGCGCTTGTGAAGTATTGTAAGGGTGGCGTGAGCTCTACGATGGTGAGGTGAGCTCTGTGGTGGTGAGGTGAGCTCTATGATGACGGATTATGATGAGGTGAGCTCTATGATGGTGATGAGGTGACCTCTATGATGGTGATGAGGTGAGCTCTATGATGGTGATGAGATGAGCTCTATGATGACGGACTATGATGATGTGAGCTTTATGATTATCTGAGTTCTATGGTGGTGAGGTGAACTCTGTGGTGGTGAGGTGAGCTCTATGATGACGGATTATGATGAGGTGAGCTCTATGATGGTGATGAGGTGACCTCTATGATGGTGATGAGGTGAGCTCTATGATGGTGATGAGATGAGCTCGTTGATGACGGACTATGATGATGTGAGCTTTATGATTATCTGAGTTCTATGGTGGTGAGGTGAGCTCTGTGGTGGTGAGGTGAGCTCTATGATGACGGATTATGATGAGGTGAGCTCTATGATGGTGATGAGGTAACCTCTATGATGGTGATGAGGTGAGCGCTATGATGGTGATGAGATGAGCTCTATGATGACGGACTATGATGATGTGAGCTTTATGATTATCTGAGTTCTATGGTGGTGAGGTGAACTCTGTGGTGATGAGGTGACCTCTATGATGGTAATGAGGTGAGCTCTATGATGGTGATGAGATGAGCTCTATGATGACGGACTATGATGATGTGAGCTCTATGATGGTGATGAGGTGAGCCCTATGATGGTGATGAGGTGAGCCCTATGATGATGATCATATAAGCTCTTTGATTTTCTGAGTTCTATGGTGGTGAGGTGAGCTCTGTGGTGGTGAGGTGAGTTCTATGATGACGTACTATGATGAGGTGAGCTCGATGATGGTGATATGAGCTATATAATGGTGAAGTGAGCTCTTGTGAGGATGAGGCGTGGAATATGATGGTGGGTTGAGAGCTCTATGATGGTGATTAGGTGAGCGCTATGATGGTGATGAGGTGAGCTCGATGCTGGTGATGAGGTGAGCCCTATGATGGTGATAAGGCGAGCCCTATGATGGTGATGAGGTGAGTTATATGATGGTGATGAGGTGAGCGCGATGATGGTGACGCGTCGGAGTGGTGGCGCTGAGATGCGTGATGTTCGTGTTGTGGTAACGATGTTATCGATGTGCTTGTAATACATTTAGGCACGCGTTTTAATCATTAAAAGCAACGCGGAGGGGGGTGGGAGCGGTGGGGGATTGTGGAGTCGAGCGCGTCGGGGTTGGTAGTTACTTAGTGACACTTTAATTAGTTTTAATTGGGAGCCGCGAGGCAACACTGGGTGTTGATCAGCGGCGCGTGGCGTTTTTCTTCACTGTGTCTCGCTGCTGCTGATGTTGTTGTTGTTGTTAGCGTGCGAAGTTGGCTGAGCCCCGTTAAGAATCGTTGTCGTACGTCCCGTGATTGTCTGTGTTCGCGCACCTGACAAGCATTAAAGCTTAATCACTGATCGCGTGACTCGTGATTTTCACCCCCCCCCCACACCCTTCCCCCCACTATTCATAACTCAGGGAGGTCCCGATACCCCCACGGCCATACCTGAGTGGATTCTTCCCCCGTCTTCCTGCATACAGCAGCAAACCATCGTGACCTCCATCACCATGGTGACCTATATCACCATTATGACCGCCGTCGTGACCACCAGTACCATGGTAACCGCCATCGCCAAGGTGAACCATCACCATCGTGTTATCATCATCATTATTATTGTGGCCTCCATCACCACCGTGACCTCCATCACCACCGTGACCTCCACCATCACCGTGGTAACCGCCATCACCGTGGTAACCGCCATCACCGTGGTAACCGCCATCACCGTGGTAACCGCCATCACCGTGGTAACCGCCATCACTTTTGTGCAAGATTTCCCAAACGTCACACCGACCAACCTACCGTATATAGTACGCGCTGTAGAATTGACCAATTTACCCGCGTCGAAACGCGCAAATGCAGTTGTTACACGCTGCACGCGCCCGATGATTACTGAGCGTCTCGCGTGATGTAGGGTAGAGTGCTGATTGCAATGGGAACGCTCTGCGTCGCACGGGAGACGCGTACGCACCAGGGACATTCAATCAGTGCCCTCTAAAGGGCGCGTGGGGCTATTGTGGTCGTTGATGATCAGGCGCGTGCAACTCGCAACATCTCTTAAGTTATGAAATATGTGATTGACGAGAAACCCCCGCGCAAAAGAAATAAAAACAGCGCAGACCACAAAAGCATGAGTTGCAAATCGCACGCATAAACGTGTGCAAACCAAAACAAATACTCAGCCTTTGTGCATGACGCTGCATTCTGCAGGAATTGTTGGATTTTGCACCATGCACAAAGACTGAGTGAGTGTTTTTGTGTTGGTTTTTTTTTATACGTTTCTGTGCGTTGTTTAAACATTTGAGATGGCTTTTAACGGAACGAGAAGACTGGCAAAAAAACATGGAACGGCGTGCCTGGGTGGGTCAGAGCACTGGAGTTTGGGAAACGCTTGCCATGGTTACTGCAAGAGTGGGGCACGGATCTTGCCAGACACGAGGGCCGCAGCTACCCGGCTGTTCACCCGCAGCAGGGAGGAGGAGAGCAGGGACGGTTACAACAACAGGTGAGGAGGACGCCAAACAAAGAGCCGCCGGTATTCGTCTCGCACCTTCATCGAGTGGCCGATGTCGAGTGTGAGGGTGTGCATGGTGCGGCGTTGCCTGGCTGGTGTGTGTGTGTGTGTGTGGGGGGGGGAGTGTTTAGGGTAGGTGGTGTGGCCGTTGAGTGCGTGGTGTGGCGTGGTGTGAGTTGAGAGGCGGTGGGAGGAATGTGGAGTGGGGGTGTGGAGAGTGGTGGCGCCGTCCACTGGCACCCCGTCAGCTGAGGGTGCCCTAAGAGCGCGCGTCTCCGGGACGCGCTCTCAAGCAGCCTCGCGGTCAATGCCGACTGTGGATGATGCCTGAAGGATCCACGAGTGTGGCGGATAAACCCTGGGGATGCTGAGAGCCGCGCTGAGAGACCCGGGAGGCTGCTGCAGGTTTCTGAAGTGAAGGGATCTCTGTAAGATGGGGTCGAATCGTGGGGTCGGTGGAACGTTTGGCAGGACCCGCTTTCCTCGGCTCGCGTGCCCTCACCATGGCCCATGACCTCCACCCAGTGGGCCCCCTCACGAACTCATGAACACGTGCCCCAGCAGAATCAGAATGTGTATTTATCCTGGAGGAATCCGATGAGCTATAAAGCTCTTTTTTCCACAGATGTCCAGTCGCGGCACGTTGTAAGAGCGTTACAACAACAAACAGTACAAAAACACGAAAGTAATGCAAAGTACACGAAAGGGAAACACCCAAACACATACGAATTAAAGTAAACCATCCCCATCCTATACCAGGCAAAGCCCACTGAGGTGTTAACTTATTTTTCAGAAGCGACCTGGCCACAAATGATAGCTCAACAACGTGGCCCCCACCATTTGGACATTCGCAGCAGCAGCAGCAGCATTGTGAACATCCACGACGGAGGCGCAGACTCGCACAGGGGGACACGAGACTGCGAATTCCACCGATGACACGGGCCCGTGGTAAGGGTCCCTCAGTGCGCTTCACAGAGCCCCCCTCCCCACCTCGCAGCTCCACTCTCGAGGGCCTCCAGAGCCCGCAACTGCCACGGAGTGGCGAATACAGTAAATAAATGATATAACCGCGAGCCGAAACCGGACACCGCGGACAAAGAGGCCCCTTCATGCCCCAGCCAGACGGCCAGGTGACGCGCGCCGAGGGGAGGAGGTATGTGGGTCAGATAACGGGGAATGTGACCATATAACGGGTGATGTGGCAGCGCATCCCTTCTCTTTTTTTAATTCGCCGACATAGCTGATGGATTAATTGGTGAGCCATGGAGATGTTAATGTCTTTCCCCGCGCAGAGGTATTTTCGTGACAATGGGAGGGAACCTGGATCGGGTCTCAGCGCGCTCCAGGACATGGAGCCACAGGTGGTGATGGTGATGATGATCGTGATGGTGATGGGGACGATGCTGAGGATGATGGCAGGATCATGGGTTGGAATTGAACCTGGATCGCTTCTCCCCATGCTTAGACAGAAAGGGGACGCAGGTGGATGGAGAGGGAGGCGGAAAGGTAGTGGCACAAGGAGAATGGAGATGGGAAGATAGGCAGCGAGACGCCGGCACCCCGGCTCGGATGAATGGACCTTGGCGAGGCATCTGGCGTTTTGTGTGTGGATGGTGAGTGTCCCTGTTCTCCATGGTAACCGTCGTTAATGCCGACAGAGTCCATCACCAAGCGGCACTCGGTGCTTCAGCATCGCTGGCGCAATCGCGCTCACCAACCCATGGAAGGAATTGTTACACACATTGTACACACCGTGTGCATGCCGTGTTCGACCATTTATGGGGTGTTTATGCGTGTGTATTCTTAAAGACTGAACACGTGTTTGTGTTGCTCTATATGTATTTGAATAAACACATCATAATCATTTGAATATTTGAATACACAGCGCTTACCAACAGATGCGTCTCTGCGTCCCCCTCAACCTGCATGCTATTATTATTCTAAAATGTGTTTTTTTTTTGCTCAAGGCAGCATCATTGAGTAACGACTCATTCTTTTTCGGAGGGACCTTACCTTAGGATATTTGGTAGATTATGTTGGTTAGCTTTTTTGCTTCACGTGGGACTAAACAGGAGTACCCAGAGAAAACCCAAATAAGTAAAACTCAAAAGCTTCGCACGTATTAAACATTCATTGATGCAGTCATACATCATCTGTTTCCAGAAAGTATCTGATCAAAGCACATCCCCGACTCAACCCATATTTAGCTGTAAATATCTGACGAGATCGGGCGCATTCCTGACGATGTGTTGGTCGATAACTACATGGCGAGGAGGAACTGGCCACCGTGAAACTCTGCAACTCGCGTCTCTGAGAACCTCGTGTTTTATTTCAGAGTGGTCCCATTGGGCCAGTGGACAGGGTGGCCCGAGTGACCCAGAGGTGAGCCAGTTTGGCCCGTGGGCAGGGTGGCCCGAACGTGGCCCTGTTTGGCCCATGGGCAGGGTGGCCCGGGCGTGGCCCTGTTTGGCTGGTGGGCAGGGTGGCCCGGGGGTGGCCCTGTTTGGCTGGTGGGCAGGGTGGCCCGGGGGTGGCCCTGTTTGGCCCGTGGCAGGGTGGCCCGGGCGTGGCCCTGTTTGGCTGGTGGGCAGGGTGGCCCTGTGCCGATTCGGCGGCGTTTGGAAGCGGATAAGCCGAGTCACACCGGGATTTTGAGGGTTAAGCCGGTGGCAGCGATCGAGGCTTCTGTGCGTGGAATGCGGCATGGCCAGGCCATAGTCCGCATGATCCCGCTCGGGGGTCGTGACTCAGCTGAGGTTACGGCACAGGGACGGGGGTGGGGCAGGTGATGGTCATCGCGGGGTAGATCTCCCAAGGAGCGAGCAGAGAGGGAAAGTGATGGCTTGTGAATGATTTGCACTCAACCAGCCTTCTCGCCGTTGATTCCCTGGGTCCCTCTCCCGGCCCTGCAGGACGCACTCAGCGTTCTTGAACGGGAGCCAGCGAGGGCTAGGATTGTTAGCGCTAATAACAACAATAATAATAATAACGCGTGTTTCTTACAAGTTAATGGGCAGGATGAGAGGCGTTCCAGGAGAGCAGCCAAATCAACAAAGCAACAACAACAACAAAAAACATCTCCGTAGATGAGTTTACACAAAGGGGCATTCCAAGTGCTCCACACAAAGACCCCCCTGCTCCCACAGCACCCTGCACCCCCACCCCCATCGCCCTGCTCCCCCACCCCCATCGCCCTGGACCCCCACCCCCAGCGCCCTGCGCCCCCACCCCTAGCGCCCAGCACCCCCACCCCCATCGGCCTGCGCCCCCACCCCCAGCACCCAGCGCCACAACCCCACCCCCAGCACCCCCAGCGCCCTGCACCCCCAGCGCGCTGGACCTCCAAATGAGAAGGGCGCTCTCCATTAGTGAGCTCCGGTGCAGGGCGCCCACCGGAGATAGACGCGATGACCGTTGGTGTATCTTCTGTGTTGTTGTTGTTGTCGATGTACCAGATGATGAGGAGGACGATGACGTCTCCGTTCTAGAGATGCACGCGGTGACTCGGGAGTTATTACTTTTCTTATCGTCCGGGAGATGCTTGCGATGACTTGTCTTTGCACTTTAAAATGCGTAATCACTCCCGCAAGTACTCCCACGAAATAACAGGGTTACACGTCATGCTCGTGGAACTCATGGGCATCAGCGCTGAGGTGCGTGCCTTCGTGGTGAGGTGTGTGTCTTGGTGGTGTGGTGTGTGTCTTGGTGGTGTGGTGTGTGTCTTGGTGGTGTGGTGCGTGTCTTGGTGGTGTGGTGTGTGTCTTGGTGGTGTGGTGTGTGTCTTGGTGGTGTGGTGTGTGTCTTGGTGGTGTGGTGCGTGTCTTGGTGGTGTGGTGTGTGTCTTG